TTGTTCATCTTTTTGTCTTCTCATCTAACTGCGGTCTTTTCAATATTCGACACAAATTTCTTGAAATATGGACTCTGATTACTTTTTTATTTTAATGAGAACAAAGGTTAATTTCATATATATAATTTTTTTGATTTTCTAATTTATTACTTGAATAGAGTTAGAAATTAGCTCTTCTTTCTCTGCAATGAATACTTCTGCTGTGTATCCAATAAAAGTTTCTGCTGCATCAAATAGTGGTAGTTATCTTTGCCTAAATGTACAATAGCATGTCTGTATAATGGCAAAATTTAGTTAGGTTTACCTGTGTTAATAAATATAAGTTTCTAAAATTGTACCTATATCGAATTTTGTGATGTTTGCATAATGTCACTAATTTGAAGTTCTTTGGCATTTATAAAGAGCATTGATGGAGATTCTTTCTTTTTTGTAGCTTCTTCTAAATGAAACCTGCATATTAGATTACAATATAATACTATTTCGTTATTAGGTTATATGAAAGTATGTCTATTCTACTTACCATTGCGATAATTCTTTAGCCAGTTGTATTTTTGAATTGATACATATTATTGATATAATTTGCAACAATATGTTTGTCCCCCTAAGATAATCTTAAGATGAATATTATGTTTAGTTGTCTTTAATGAGAATTTCAATAATAAAACATGTACCTTTATTAATAGAGATTATAAAATCTGATATTAGCACTTAGTTCCTAATTATTCAGAACACATGGTATATATATGGGGGTTCCTTGTTTGGATTTTTCGCCCGACGTACTTGTTCCGTTTAGTTAGGGGTTAAGTGAGAGTATTTACATTCTAGACTATTAAGTATAGATATCGAGGAGGATTCTCGGGAGCGCGGAGATGTTATGCATCGCGACTACCCACATCTGTTAGAGCAGGTGGATTGATTTATTTGATTTGGTATATTATCCATATGATTAAATTTACATTTAATGCTAGAATGAAGGATATTGACACTTAGCTCCGAATTATTCGGAATACATGGTATATATATGAGGGGTTCCTTGTTTGGATTTTTCGTCTGACATACTAGTTCTGTTTAGTTAGGGGTTAAGAATATTAGCATTCTAGATTGTTAAATATAGATACTGATATGTCTCATATCTGAGGATTAATGGTACGAGAAGTGTACGGGAGGGTTTCCTTGTCTGGATTATCCCCTCTTAGTGCTTTTCTCATATTATTAATTCCTAAGATACGCTTACGGAATTTCAGTGACAAAATTCTTTTAAGGGGGGAAGAATATAAAACCCCGTGAATTTGAATATTATGTGATAAATAATAATAAATGTATTATATGGTGATAAATAACATATTTTGATGTTTAAGTATGTTAGAAATTAATTTGAGATAAATTCAGTGTATATATGTGAGTGGAGGAGAGAAACATGCACGAAATATACACGAAATCAGAAGAAAAACAGTAAATCTCTGCTAAGTCCACTTATGAGTCGACTTATGATAAGTCGACTTATCAAAACCGTAAGTCGACTTACCATAAGTTGACTTATCAGATACATAAGTCGACTTATTGGCTGATTTCCATATTTCTTTTAGGTTTCAGGTTATATCCGTTTTGTTTCGATCCTAGACTTATATAAACTCATTTAAACCCTATTTTGCTGTATTTTTCGTGAGAATACAGCAGTCACCCCTCCTCTAAAACCCTGGTTCTAGTTTTTGAGTTTTTGAAAGAGTTTGGTGAAGGATTTGCCGAGAGGAAGGCGAGATCTGTGTTTGTAGCAAAGGAAGAGGTCTTGCACGCATGTTGGAAGGATCAATAGCAACTTGAGGCAAGATTAACTTCGTCCAAACTCATCCCCATAGTTAAATAACTAGTTGTAGTTGTTAATATGATGTTTAATAAATGTTTTCATGTTTAAATCTTAACTTATGATGTTAAAAGTTAGATTCTTGATGTTGAAACTTAAATACATGCTAGATCTATTACTTTTCCTTGTTGTTTATGATAGAATCATAATCATGATCATTAGGGTTTCATTTAATTTCATTTTTAATCTTTTATACATGCTTAATTCATGTGCAAACCCTAGTTTGATGTTTAGTTGTCTTTTTTATGTTAATTAATCATGCTTAAACCTTAGGCTAGTGTTTCCTAATTAGTCTAATCATGTTTAAATAAATTTTATGCTTATGTCCTATGTCAAAATAATTAATCATGCTTTGATAATTATGTAATTTTTCATGTCAATATTGAAAATCTTGGATAATCATGTAGTTAACCCTAATCTCTTTTAATACAAGTGTTAAACCATCTGATATGACCTCTGTTAATTAGTTTTGGATGTTTATAACATGTTTCCTATGGCTCATGTTGGTTAGAATGAGTTTTGTTTGAGATACACCACAGAAAACATCGAAACGACAATCTGGAAGTCGACTTTCCATAAGTCGACTTACGGGTAGATTTCAGATAGTTTCCAATTTGTTTTTACACTGTTTTGAGATGCGTTCAAGGGATTCTAGTCGTACTTTTATACACGTTTATTCACGAATACACAAGTATAGTGTTGTTGCATACACATGAATATCCCGATGGGGATTTTGACAAATATTGATCCGATTACACTTGAGTTAGAGGTGGTTTACATAGTTTACATACATATGAATATCGTTGATGAGCACCGCTCAGTACTATTTGAGATAGTGCGTCAATATACCATTCGCACAGAAATTGATTACACAATTTATACATATATATGGGTTTGTGCATTGATATTCTAATAGTACAGACCATTGAGTCGGGTTTGAGGATGCTTAACCTAACAGTCCATCCCGCACCAGGGTACGATGAGGCTGGTGAGCCGTATTTCTAGGATACCTATTTGGTAGTCTGTCCCGCATTCATGTTACACACTAAGTTGCGATGGACTAATGAGCGGAGTACACAGTTAGGATGTCGATTTGGTAGTTCATCCCGCATGATACTGCGATGAATCATAACTTACATGGATTTGATTGGTGACGATTTCTTGATAGCCTGAGTCCATGGCGGATTCCAGTTATGCGTAAGACTCATCGCTCAGATATAATATCAAGATACTTTGCTATTGAAAGTATACAGGATTATTTGTTGGTATTTATTCTATCTCCCCAGTGATAGTGGGAAATACAATATATTAATGTCTTAATTTTCTTTACTGCTTTCTTTATTTCTTAGGTTGGGATCAATGATTAGATATTCACAATTTAAGACATATGGTATATACATGAAGATTTTCTTATTTGGATTATTTCGCTCGATGTACTACATCTCGTGTTATGGATTTTTAATTATTAATTTTATTTAGATTGTTTATCTCTAGATTGGTATTAATGTTTAGGAATCTATAATTTGAGATATATGATATATACATGAGGGTTTTCTTGTTTGGATTATTTTTCTCGACGTATTACGTCTTGTGTTGTAGGTTTTTCTAAAGGTTAACTCCACTTAGATACGGAGGAAATGATCTAGGTAGACTATGCTTAATTGATAGAACCTTCACTCTAGCTAGTAGCCCTTTCCTTGGAGGCGGATGGAGGTAATCTTGCTGTAGCGCTCTAACGCTTTTGTTGTTTTTCTTTTTGTTATTTTCTTTTCTTTCAAGCGGTACAGAGGTACGGAGAGCCGCAAGATGACGGAGTTCCTACATAGTCGTCGTTACATGAACTTTAGGGACTCCATAGTAGATTTTTATTTTATTTTATTCAGTCATTAGAGTTTCATTCTCATTTTGTAAAGGCTATGAGCCTTAGTTACATTTTTAGTTGATTCATGTCGAGATATTTTACATTATTTCAGAGATCAGGTGTATACAGTTTTATTCATTTGAGACATTGTTTCATTTATGGGATTTATCATTCTATACCATGTCTATTATAATTATTTACCTTATTTTGCCTATTTTGTACCTACACTTTTTTTATTCCACTTGAGGATATTACAGTGATTGGTGAAACGTGTTATTTCATAGTGTGGGTGCATGACAGATTTGACATCTCTGGATTTACCTTGGACTATAGTCATGTGTGGAAACAGGGGCGTCACACATACGTACATACATACAGAGGTATGAGATATTGCGCCTGAGTAGATAACAATTGCAAATATATAAGAATAGGATAAGTGTTTGAATTTAATAAACCCCTAACATTAGGATATGGATTTTCTTTCGACTTTATGTTCAAGTGAAAGGATTGATGTTTGAAGTTTGAAGTTTGAAGTTTGAAGTTGTAGATTAATATACATATTAGGACATTTTGTTCACACGGCCCATCTAATAGGAAAATAATGACATCTTTTCTTGAGACCTTTAGTTTAAAACAAACGAAGCATGATAAAAGCTAAAGGTTTGCTCACATAAACTGATAATCGACTTGCTAATGGCTAATGCCCGTGATATTTTCGGATCTATAACTCAACAAAAAACCTAAAATTTTCACCTACGATCCCCAAAATCCCTTTTTCTCCTATGGTGCAAATAACAAATAAATAACTAAAATTTATGGCATTGCATGGACAATGTGAAATCAGATATTGTTTCTGAAACATTGTAAACAACGTAAAATGATAGAAAATTACTTGTTAATCAGAAAAGAATTCAAGAAAAACCCTAAATTTCCCCTCTGATACCCAAATTAGGATATTTAGTTCACATGGGATTATGATATAATTAGGATATTTAAAGTTGAATTAGAATATAATTAGGTTATTAAGAAAATTAGGATATTTAGTTTACATGGGATTATGATATAATTAGGATATTGGAAGTTGTAGTTCACAGATGATTAGGATAATTAGGATATATTTGAATTGAAGTGTAACGTCTAAAAGATTGAGGGTATTTTTGTCTACCAAATTATAGATTTGAATTCAAATGTAATATCTAAAAGAGTTAAGGGTAATTTTGTCTACCGAAAGATTTTTTTCGAACTCGTGTTTTTAAATGGAGTATGATATGAATGACATGTTCAAATTACCGGTCATACAATTCCATAGTAAAGCATGTAATCTTCTATAGGGTCATACAATTCCATAGTAATACTATCACCCAGTTGCAACAGAACTTGTGATTCTTTTGTTACAGATTGACCCATGAGTGAATATTTTTTGACACTTTCATCTCAAGAGATATATTTATCCAAAAAACAATTATATCTTTCAATGAGGGCAAAGGGTCAAAAAGTTTGCTCATAGGATCTACCTGCAACAGTAGAACTACTGGGGTTTGTTCGCCATTAACTTCTTTCAATAACTAAACAATGCAAGGCTTTGCAACAAGAACCAGGCCTGTTTTCTTGTGCAAACTTATTCCAGGTGATTCAGTCATATCCAGCACTTCAGCCTCCATCCCTTTAGGCATCTCCCAATCAAAATGATGCAGTAAACTAGCGAGTGCAAGCTCAACAGTGGGAACAGCAAATCCGGCACCAGGACAACTTCTTCTCCCCGCACCAAAAGGAATAAACCTGAAATCCTGGCCTCTGAAATCGACCTCACTGTCCAAAAACCTCTCTGGCATGAACTCTGCGGGGTTTTCCCATGACCTCGGATCTCTTGCAATCGCCCATGCATTAACGATGACCCTCGTTCCCTTTGGAATGTGAAAGGATAGTAATTCTATGTCTTGCGTTGTTTCTCGGGGAACTAGTAGAGGGACCGGAGTGTTTAATCTCAGCGATTCTTTGATTATGGCTTTCAAGTATGGCATTCTGTCGATTTCTTTGTCGGAGATGTGCTTTTGGCTGTGACCGACGATTGAGCGCACTTCTACTTGTGCTTTCTTCATTACTTTTGGATTTCTCATGAGCTCGGCCATTGTCCATAGTAAGGTTGTGTATGTAGTGTCTGTTCCAGCAGCAAACATATCCTGCCAAATTAATTCGAAATTATATTTCCATCAATAGGTTAGGCAACGAAGTGAACAAGGTAAGAGATAATGCCTTGAACAATAGGGTTTCTCTAGTATTGTCTCCAATCGGCAAAAGTGTAGAATGCCTTCCAAATCCTTTACACCGTGTTTGGATGTGGGATAACGGGGGAGAGGGGGAAGGCGGTGGATAATTAGAATTTGGATCCTCTCCACTATAAAAAAGTAGTGGAGAGACCACTACTTTTAATCTCAACAGTTGATCACTTAGTAGGCGGTTATGATACAATCTAAATCTAATACTCACCATACCCCTATGTATTGCACTCATTCCTAATTTGCACTAAAAAAATCACAATCATCAACTAGATAGTTAATTCTTGTGATTATGTAGTGGTCCATCCACTACTTTTTAAATAGTGGAGAGGATCCGAATCCGGATAATTAACCCATTAACGATGAGCAACGTGGGTCCACGTGTTCCATTAATGAGAGTTTAATGAAACAACAAACAATGTTATAAGAAGTGGGGAGAGCCACGAAGGAAAGAAGCCTTAGCTCAATTGCAGCATAAAACAAAAAGGAAACAACCCAAATGCAATGAACCTCAAAAATAACAGAAGAACAATCACATGGAGCTAAATTCCACGCCGTGATAACTAATCCTCCATCTCATACTCGGAATAATTAACCCTGTTTGAGAGTATTTCTAAGGAGAGTAGTTAATGGAGGGAAGGGAAGCGGTGGGAGGTAATTGGAGGTGAAAAGTTCATCTTCATTTGCGTGATTTGATTCTCTCCAAATCGGGGATAAATAATGGAGGGGTATGGAAATGATGAAAAACCAGACGACTTCATCCTCCTATCATGATCAATCTAATGGCTGATACTTGAGTTTACATAAGTCTCTTTTCTCTATTAAAGCTCCCAGGCATGGTGAAATAAGTTTCGTTTCATTCCTCTTCCTAAACTCTGAAACAATTCACTTCCCTGCCCCTTTCCTCTCCCCTTCCCTTTCCCTCCATTAATAGCCTGTTTGGATGGAGGGTAGAGAAGGGACGGGGAAGGAAATTTTTAGTTTACATTTGTTTAGAAGTTCTGTTTAGAAGGGTAGAAAAAGGGGAATGAGGGAGAAATTTGAACTAAAATCTTAACCCACAATTCCAAATTGGAGGGTAAATAAAGGGAGGGGAAGGGAAGGAAGGGAGAAAACATCCCTAGTCATCTCCCAAACACACCATAAGTGAACCCCTAAACCGAGTGTTAAGTTATACCAAATAGATTCACAATAATGTTTCCGTTAAAATCTAACTCTCAAATAAAATTAATCCTAAGAGAACACAAGGTTTGAGGGTATCATTTATATGCTTATATTAGAATTGTAAACAACGTTTTACTGAAGGAATCTTTACTTACCAAAATAATTGCCTTGATGCTGTCTCTACCAAGGGAAAGGGAAACGCCAACCTTTTCATCTTTCTCGAGGGAAACACCAATTCTTTCATCTTTCTCATCCAGCGAGAGCAAAATATCTACGAAGTCTCCATCTTCCTTATAGTTACCGTTTGCATCCCTCCTCGCTTGAAGATGCTCTTGCAACACCTCTTCAAGAAAACTATCCAACTCTTTAGAATTCTTTCTTGCCCTTGAATTCAAACCAGTTAAATTATCCACCCAACCAAGCCAAGGTATGAAATCTCTAATAGGAAATGATCCAAGCAGATCACCAAATTCACCCAACATATCGTGCACTTTCTTCGCTCCAACCCCTTCACTGTATTTCCTCCGTAGAGCAACTCTACATATTATATCACTAGTAAGTGACACGAACAACTCGCTCAAATCCACCAAACCATGTTGGGATGCACGGATTTTTTCAATCATGATGGAGACCTCTTCTTCCCTTATAGAGCAAAAAGACTGTACCATCTTGAAGCTTAGTAGATGTATGGCAGTTATTTTTCTCACTTGCCTCCAATACTCACCATACGGCGCGAACGCGATGTCACGATCATACATGAGCATCTTGGCCATGCTGGATTTAGGCCTACTAGCGACGCCAAGGTCATTCTTTTTCATCACCTCACGAGCCATCTCTTCTGAAGAAACTATGATCGTCGGAACACAACCGATGCGTAGGAGCATTATTGAGCCATACCTGTTTGACAGCGCTTGCAACGAGCGATGAGGTGGAGAGCCTAGTTGATGGAGGTTACCGATAATAGGAAGCCTCGGAGGAGATGGAGGAGATTTCTGAGTGGGTTTCCGATGGCAAACAGTTAAGAAGAAGAAGAAGAAGAGGATGAAGGTGATTGTAGAGAGAAAGAGCATGTTGATCCAAAGATTACTTTGTTGAAGATAGTCGAGGAGTGCAAATCTTCATCATATATAGCTCAAGGTGGCAAAACGGATTACGTTAAAGTACTAATCTTATGAAGGACAAGAATCGTGAGGACAATCTTCCGTAAGATAAGAATCATGAGGGCAACATTACACCCTTTACTATACGACACACACAGAGGTGGGGAGCTATAACCAAAAATATTTAAGTGGACGGCATTGAATTAAGCCTTTAAATTAAACTTTGTTCTCTAGCTAGAACGATCACGAAATTAAATGAAATGTAGTCATTACATACAGGACCACTGTACTAGCAAGTTTTAAGTCACATATTCATCACAAGTGTTAGATGTTTTTTTTTTAAATTGAATTTCACAAGTGTTAGATATGTGATCTATAATAAGTATCTAAGGCAGAAATAAGATCAGCCACAAGGGTTGCAAGCTGGATATGAGTAGACGCTACAATCGACGTCGCACTGATACCAAGTGTAAACACTGGTGCACAATCATGCACACATCTCCTAATTTTGCCTATTCTACGTTCATGAAGTTAGTACTTCACAATTGAAATTAATACTTCACAATTAATCATGTTTATAATTTATACCACAATATAATCTTTTTTCACGTAGTAATAAGCTATATAACTCTTCATCTTCCTTGCTATTAGCAATTCTATTCATTGTGAAATTAATGATCTTGATGAGTATTCTTTTGAGCTGATATTTTTCTCATCTTAACTAATATTACCAAAATACAAGCGCAATGATATAATGATATCATAATACTAATTCCCGTGCATTGCATGGGAAAAAAGCTAGATAGGATAAAAAGGACAACTTTAAAAATCAAAAAATTATAACATCTTGATACTTATTTTGTTAAAGTTAGTAGCCACCAACCAACACAGTAGCCAAGACCTACCAACCAACACTACAACCACGACCCACCAACCGTTACTGTAGTGACACTATAGCAACCTAATTTCTATAGTGTACACCTACAACCAAATAACCTATAAATAGCCCCCCCAAAGTCTTCGGTGGAAATCATCCCAGAAGCAAGAAGAGAGAGGGGGGTGTTAGACCCTAGAGGGGGGGTGATTAGGGTCTTATGCTAATCTAATCCGATTAAATACCAATTAAAATTAATTAACAGATTATTCTTGCAAGAGAGATATTCAATATGTTACAAGCAAGAATAAGCAATATGAACTAAGGTAAATATCCTAGCAAAGAGATATACTATGAGATATATATATATATATATGCAAGGATATATAAACTAACACAAGGGATAAACCATCTAAACAAGATAGTGGATAAAGTGAATGAGCAATGCACAATTGGCGATATAAAATAAATGCAAAAACAACTACGCCAAAGACAAACTCAAACAAGCGATATGATCACGGAGTTCGGACCTTCCGTCCTACGTCTCCGCTCCCCACTCCCGGGGAGAAATCCACTAACACAATCCGGTTTGGAAGCCGGAACTTCTTCTACACACTCGGTTTTCTAGCTAACCGAAAACTCTACAACTCACACTCTTGCAATCACACTCTAGACCCACTAAGTGTTGGACCTAGCCGTGTCTCCCTCAAGTGCTCGGTTACAACCTCTCCCTAGGCACGTCAACCGACGCCACTCCTCTTGGGACGATCCCCGACTCTCACCACACACTCCTCACTCGGTGTACAAAGTGATTTCACAATTAAGCACAATATAGCAAATAATTGTTCTCTCTAACAAGGTGAGAACTCAATTAGGCTCAACTCAATGTCACACTATCCCACAACCCAATTATATAATGTATGCAAATACAATAAGCTCAATGGTTGTGTGTGCAAACAAAGAGTAAATCAAATCAAACTAAACTCAATATAAAACTAGCTTTAATAGAAATGATAATCAACAAATAATTATAAATAAAAGCTAGACTTGAGTTTAGGAAAACTTCTCTAGATCAAGATGGAGAGATGGAGATATGAAGCCCAAACAAGAAGATGATCTCCTCCACTTGTGAAAATAATCTTCGTTACTGTGCAACGGCTCTCTGATAAGTCGACTTGGAGTCGACTTATGACATATACAGTTTTTGGCAGATGCTGAAAATTATGCGTATCTGGATTTGTAAAATCAGTTAAAAATAGTAAATCAACTCTAAACATTATGCAATTTTGAGGGATGTTTCTAAACATGTAAATACACATTTTACAAAAAGAATTTCTGAAATATAACTTCTCATTTGTGAGAAATAAATATTTGAATACAGATATTTCATATTCTAAAAACTGCTGAAACACCTGATTTTCTAAAATCAATTTGACACAGTACATTAACTCCAAAAATTATAAAATTTTTAGGGAAGCTTCTAAACGTGTATATGAACATGTTAGAGAAGGAATTTATTAAATATCACTTCCCATTTGAGAGAAATAATTTATTTTGTAAACTGGTCAAAAATACATAACTGTGCAACACTTCATAAGTAGACTTATAAAAAGTTATAAGTCGACTTATATAAGTCGACTTGCCTTGCTTTATAAGTCGACTTAGCAGAGGAGAAAATGCACTTTCTAGAGGAGTTCATAAGTCGACTTGTCAGGGTTTATAAGTCGACTTATAAACATGCACAGACACTGTTCATGCTGGAAAACTGATTTTTAAAGTGCCTTTAAAAATAACAAATAAATTCCAAAAATTATGAAATTTTGGAAAATGTTTATAAACATGATAATAAACATGTTACAAAAAGAATTTTTGGAATTGCATTCCACAATAGTGAAAACCCAACATTTTTCAAATATGTCCAAAAACATGAAAACGAAACATACATGTTTTGACATTTGATTTAAACAAACTTTTGAAACTCTACAAAATGATTTTATAAACTTTATAAACTATGTATAAACTGATATTAAAGTCTGTAAACTAATAAAATAATGTTTTCACAAAAACACCTATATTTTGATAAAATCAACAAATACGTGTGTGTGAATAATATGAGCTTAAAGTATCAACACACAAGTATAAAAACCTAAACTAAATATACCCAAGCTTGTGATCTTCAACGAAGCTCTATCTTGGTACACTTGCGGATGAAGCTAAAACTTGGATCTTGAACTTGAATGCAATACTTCACTCCACTATTCCGCCAACCTCCTCTTGATATGATCGTGTAGGCTCAATCCATCCAACCTCCAACTCGTTGTTTGTCTACAATACATAGGAAAACACAAATACTAGACAAACAACATTAGTAGTAAATTGTTTGTTAAACATCATCAAAACAAGAAGGCCAACAATCTCCCCCTTTTTGATGATGACAAACAATTTACAAAAAGAAATATATGCATGAAGGAAATGAATATATAATTTATAATTCACATGCATATAAACAAGAAAGAATACACTCACAATATTTCTCCCCCTTTGACAACATCAAAAAGGGGACAAAAAGAATAAGAGAGCGAAAGCTCCCCCTATCAATAAGCATAGATGAGTATAAAGCAAATATAGGGAATAGCTCCCCCTATCAAAAAGCCATATGAAATATAAGCAATAAAAGATCATGGCAAACATGTGAGCAAGCATAAATAATATGCCAAAAATCACTCACATTCAAGAGATAATGAGAACATATATAAATATATCAAGATGAACATATTGTCTCATATCATAAAAGCCAATGTATAAAATAGATTTATGAAATCAAAAGAAGAGAAACATGAGAATCATGTAAAAAAGTTTTCAAATGAAAACAAATCAACCAATTGAAATCATAAATCAAAGTTTAAATCCAAAAACGTAAAATCAAATCATCATTGATTATCAGGGTAATTTCCCAACAACTGGTATCAGAGCTCTGGTTGTGACGTCTGTCAAATTTCTGCAAGGTTACTATTCACGTGAATAGTAAATTTCGTGAATAGTAGAATTTTGCCGGCGGTACTGACTTGTCGGCAGAGATATCTTAAATACAAGGTGGTTCGCAGAAATTGTCAGAAACGATCCAGAGGAAGTCAGATTCGAGTGGGAGCGATGGCTGCAGACGAAGGGAAGGTAAAAATTGAGAAGTTCGATGGTGCGGACTTCGGCTTTTGGAAGATGCAGATCGAAGACTATCTGTACCAGAAGAAGCTGTATCAACCTCTCTCGGGAAAGAAGCCAGATGATATGAAGGATGAAGAGTGGGCTCTCCTCGACAGACAAGCCCTTGGAGTTATCCGATTGACGCTATCCCGCAACGTTGCCTTCAACATAGCAAAGGAAAAGACCACGGCGGGTCTTATGGCGGCTCTCTGCAGCATGTACGAGAAGCCCTCTGCCTCAAACAAAGTTCACTTGATGAGGCGGCTGTTCAATTTGCGAATGACGGAAGGCGCATCGACAGCTCAACATCTCAATGAACTCAACATAGTCACAACCCAGTTGAGTTCAGTTGGGATTGAATTTGATGAAGAAGTACGAGCATTGATACTTCTTTCTTCTCTACCAGAAAGCTGGAACGCTACAGTCACGGCTGTGAGTAGCTCATCGGGAAGCAACAAGTTGAAGTTCGATGATGTTCGTGATCTGGTTCTTAGTGAAGAGATCCGACGGAGAGAATCGGGTGAAGCTTCAACCTCCTCAGCTTTACACACGGAGTCTAGGGGAAGAACTTCAGAAAGAAGTTCAAATCACGGCAGATCAAAATCTAGAAGGAGCAAATCTAGATCAGGAAAGAAAGACTTTAAGTGCTACAACTGTGGCAAGAAGGGTCATTTCAAGAGGGAGTGTCGGGCACCGAAGAAAAACACCGGCGCACAGGAGTCTGCCAACGTGACCGAGGAAGGAGGCGATGCTATGATTCTAAGCGTCAACAGTCCGATTGAATCATGGATTCTTGATTCAGGGGCATCTTTTCATTCCACCCCATGCCGAGAAATCATGGAGAACTACGTCAGCGGTGATTTCGGAAAGGTACATCTAGCAGATGATGAAACCTTGAAGATTGTTGGCAAGGGAGACATTCGATTAAAATTGCCAAATCAGACCACATGGAAGCTGCAAGGAGTAAGACATA